CTGATAAACCTAGGCTACCCACCAACATTTTGATGAGTAAGTTCACGTTGCAGCTACCCACCAACACTTCCTACATTAGTTCCTTTTTAAATCATTTACTCAGACATTTATAATAATGATAGGCGCCTGATTATTTTTGGTGCATCTGTCTCTGACAGGAAAAGAGTATGAGCATTCTAGACCAAGTTTTTTTTTTTTTTTTTTTTTAATTTTTACCATGTTTGCATATTCTGTAAAATAGAGTAGTTGTGACTAACCTAGGTTACCTATATTTTATAAGAGCATAACAGTTTTCAGAATGGAGAGAGGTGTCCCTCAGAGGTCCGTAAATGGGGCCAATCCTATTCAACATATTTATAAATGATTTGGAAAAAGGGTAAACAGTGAGATGGCAAAATTTGCAGATGATACTCAACTGCTCAAGATAGTTAAAACCAAAGCACACTGTAAAGAGCCTCGGAAGGATCTCACAAAACTAGGAGATGGGGCAATAAAATGGCAAATGACTTTTAATGTCCATAAATGCAAAGTAACGCACACTGGAAAACACAATCCCAACTATACATACAAAGTGATGCAACTAAATTAATTATTACCACTCAAGAGTCATTGTAGATATTTATCTGAAAACATCCACTCAATGTGCAACAGCAGCCAAAAAAACCAACAGAATGTTAGGAATCATTATAAAAGGGAGAGAGAATAAGACAGGGTACGTCTACACAGCAGCATTATATCAGAATAAGCGGCGTTATTCCGAAATAACATAGTGCACGTCTACACTACAAGAATTTATTTTGAAATAATGTTGAGCTGGAGGACTTCTCACTCCAAATCGTGGTAACCCTTATTTCATGAAGAATAAGTGAAGTTGAAGGAAGAGTGTTCTTCCTTCAACTTCCTGCCGTGTAGACGGCGCAAAAAGCTGTATTAAGCTATTTTATCTTAAGCTATGCAATTGATGTAGCTGAAGTTGTGTAGCTTAATCCGACTTCAGCACTGCTATGTAGACGTATCTACAAAGAATACCTTATTGCCCCTCTGTAAATCCACGGTACACCCACATTTTGAATTCTGCATACAGATGGGGTCACCTCATCTCAAAAAAAGATATCTTAGCATTGGAAAACGTTTGGAAAAGAGCAGCAAAAATTATTAGGGATTTGGAACAGGTCTCAAAAAAAAGATTGGGACTTTTCATCTTAGAAAAAGAGGAGACTGAGGAGGGATATGATAGAGGTATATAAAAACATGACTGATGTGGAAAAAGCGAACAAGGAAAAGTTATGTACTTGTTCCATAACATAAGAACTACGGGTCACCAAACAAAATTAATAGGTGGCAGGTTTAAAACAAACAAAAGGAAGCTTTTCTTCATGCAGCACACAGTCAACCTCTGGAACTCCTTGTCAGAGGATGTTGTGAAGACTAGGACCTTAACAGTGTTCAAAAAAACCTAGAGAAATTCATGGAGGATAGGTCCATCATTGCTTATTTGCTAGGATGGGTAGGATTGGTGTCCCTACCGTCTTTTTGTCAGTGGCTGGGACTGAGCAACAGGGGTGGGATCACTTGATGATTACCTGTTCTATTCATTCCCTCTGGGGGCACCTAGCATTGGCCATAGTCAGAAGTCAGGACACTGAGCTAGATGACCCAATATAGCCATTCCTATGTGCTTACGTTAGTTGTCACTTTCTTTACCTTAATGCTTTCTCCAAACATAGCATAAACTTTTGCTTTAAATAATATTTGCTTAAAAACAAAAGCAGTCCGGGAAAGGAAAATAAATTAATTTCAGAAGCAGAGATGTTTGTGTGTGGTCAACTAACCGAAAAACCTCATCTTCTCAACTACACGCATTTCCCCTCCTTGCTGCCTCTGTATCAGAGGCAGCAAGGGTCGGGGAGCAGGAACCAGGGCTGGGGGGGGGAAGCCATCTTAAAATACGCTTCTCCCCAGCACTGGCTCCACAATCCCATCTGCTCCTCCCCATGCTGTTGCCTATATCAGAGGCAGCAGCGGGGAGCAGGGGAGAGTGCTATGAAGCAGCCTCTGTCTGCAGCAGGCCCAATCACCCCAGGGACAGAGGCTGCTCAATATCCCATGGAGTAGCCTCTGTCCATGGCAAACATGGGCCCATTGCAGGGAAAAATTGCTAAGCTCCCTGTGGACAGAGGCTGTTCTGCATCCCGCAGAGCAGCCTCTGTCCGTACTGAGCTCAGATGCCCAATGGACAGGGCCTGCTACCACCCCGTGCTGCTGCCTCTGTATCAGAGATAGCAGCATGGGAAGCAGGCAGCCAGTCTGTGCGGGGAGCTGGTTTTTAAACTGGCTTCCCTCGCGGACCAGCCCCCCGCTTATGCAATGACCCAAAATGTACTACAGTCATAGCAGCATACCCACCACAGGACTCTGTTTGGAAGTGACTTTAGAATGAGATCAACCTGTATTTTCTGGGGAGAAATGCATCATGAAGAACAAAAAGTTACATAAAACCATTCATTTTTGGAGAAAACAGAAGCTTTCCTTATCCCTGCAGTTTTATTTGGGGTGCAAGGATGATGCTACTAGTACAATGTATACTTAAAGAGAACAACATGAACCAGGAGCCAGCAATCTGCAGTTTAGCCAGGTTTCCCAAGAAATGGGAGGGGGGGGGGGGACTGGTGTGCCACCTGCCTCTCACATTGGTGGTTATTTGGAGCATGTAACATCAAAAGTTTGTCGTTTTGAAAAATTTTAATTTTCATCCACAGAAGCATCTAATTTCAACAGCTTCAAAAGATAAATTGAACAAAATGTAGTTTTGTTTCACTGTCATTAAACTGGGAGCACAAATAAATACAAACAATTTCACACCCTTAATTTAGCCTACTTTAACCCCAGCTAGCAAGCACAGTGCAGCTGTTTGCCCATACAGATTCTGTTTGCAGGTTTAATGTGTTATAGACTTCTAAACCCCAAATTGTGGCACTTAATTGGACTGAGATGGTTAAATGACCTAAACTACAAGTATGAGTAATTATGGAAACAAAACTGCACCCACAAACTTAAAAGCCTCACTAGACCAATTGAACAGATGGTACTTAAGTTCCAATTAAGCAGAAACTTTAGGCACCTACATAATTCTACAGATTTCAGTGGGATCACACATGCAAAAAAATTAATCATTTGCTTGCATCTTTGCAGGATAAGGGCCTAATACTCATGTAAATCACCATATTGCTGAAAAATTCACCCATACGTGATCTCTAATGCAAGACATCTGGTATCAGCTATTGAGTGCTTTTAATGTTTTATTAGGAGGTATAAAAATCAGAACATATTTGAGCAATATGTATCAAGTAGTGACTATTAAAGAACAATGGAGTTCATACTTATGAACTGTAGGAATAATTCATGTTTCAAACAATTTTCCAGTTTTTTTTTTAAACTACCTTACCTGAAAATTATACTAGTTTGCAAAAATGACATAAGATGTTACATAGGAAAAAGTCACTCATCTGTCAACAGAATACTCAATTATCTAAACATGTTTTCCCCCCTTCTTTGTTTTAAGAGCCAAGATATCTGTAATAGATTGGGAGGGGAGGGGAGAAAACCCCATTCTGTTTATTTGCTTTTAGCAGCCCTTGGATAGTTTTTCACTGTATCCCCTTCACTTTCTTTTGAGAGGGTCTGTTAAAAGCATTTTTCTTATGTATTTTCTTAAAATATACAACTGCAACTGCAAAAAAATAACAAATAGGGAGATTCCGGACAAATCTAGTAACTGAAGCTACTTTACAATAAAAGTTTCAAAGTTACCCATGTATTGCAAAACCCTGCAGCAAACAGTGGGGTCTTTTACAAGAATGTATTAGTCTAATTACAATACAAGCATGATTGTGCTTTTGAAGCTATCAGTAAACTGTGTAATTTTTATACTTTAGGTAATACAACTCATCTTTATTACCAAGGTTTTAAAATGTTATTTAAAACTGTCTTATCACAAATTTGTATTCACCATATAACCACCATTTTTATATTATCACGGCTTTAAAAGACCAGGCACAAATTTTATTTTATATTTAAAATATGTACAGGACTTTATGGAAATTCAGGTTTATTTTGTTAAGAAATGAGTCCGTCTAGAAATATCCTGAGTCTAACTTCCCTGCAACGTTTAGGACAAAAGGTAACTTGTACAAAAATACAAGCATCTAAAAACCACAGCTCACCGTGTGAGATTAACAGTGGGAGGCAAGCTTTTTCTGGTAATTTAGGAAACGTTAAACTGAAACAAGGAAAACAGTTTACTCAAAATCCTCTAACACTGGTAGGAAACAGCAGTTAGGCCAAAACAAGTGCTACAAGTGGAGCACGTATTTTCTCTGGATAAATTAGAATATTATACTACAAGTGCAGTGTTCACCAGCTTAAAGTAAAATATGCCTCACAGGAAGAGCAAACTCAACTCACCCCCAAGGTTATAAAAACATTCATTTTCTTTTCCCCTCAGCCCAACCTGCAGTCAGGAATGAAGGATTTTGAATTTCACTAACTCGCTGGGTCAAAACTAATAATTTAATCCCCAATTACTCAGAAAAGGGACTGTAATCTTGAGTAACTAGCTGGGTTAATCCTTCATCAAGCAGCAAATTGTAACTGAGCTGTAGGACGTCTGTTTACATCAAAACGAATATGGACTCTATGCATGCTGCGGAGACTGAAAGGATTTGTGGGTGGGTTACATCTCCTCACTACCTGGAAAATATAGTGAGAAAAGCGAAAGGAGAACAGTTCGAGAGGACTAAAGAAACCAGTAGGTGAACTCGGGGCTCAGAGATCCGGGAAAGGAAGAAGAGGACAGACAAACCTGAGCTGTAGATTGGAGCGGGGAGAAGTGGGGCAGGCTAGGGCGAACTCGGAGTTGGGAAACGTGGTTAGTAGCTCAGCAGTGAGCGGATTTTTAGTGCAGCACCTATAGCCCTTTACTGGAGTGTATCGGGCTGTACCTTTGAGCTGGGGCAGAGGCAAAAGCTCCACCTGGCTGCTCTGACTGCGGAACTGCGAGGAGCCCTGCGAGCGCTTCTGCCTCTGAGCCTTGCGCACCGATTTCCGCGTGAAGCCATCCACCTTCTCCGCTGCAGAGATGGCCGCCGACATGGCTGGGCGGTGAAGAGGGGGGCGCCGCTCCCCAGCCGCATATATCAAAGCGGTGGAGGAGAAGGACGGGAGAAGGAGCCAAGATCCCCAGACCAACAGGGGATCCCCACAGCAAGCAGGCAGGTCCCCCCACGCTCCTCCTGCGAGCGGCCCACTCCTGTTCCGGCTCCTTGACAGATCCTAGCTTATCCAAGACCTGGGAGACTCCTCAGTCCGGACCGCGGCGTTCCCAAATTCCTGCTTCGCTCGTAACTTCCTCCCTGAGGAGCCGGCTCCCGAAACTTTCCCTTGCGGAGCCGCAAGACGCCTGTGCTCTCTTGTCCTCAGCCGGGCTCGCCTCTGCCGGTGTGCGCGGAGCTCGCTGTCATGGGCCGAAGAAGCACGTTCCCCGCTCCTTCCTCAGCTGCCGCCGGGCACCCCCTGCGCCTCCGCTGTCATCCTGCCTCCTCGCGGCCCGGCCAGCTCACACCGCGGTCACTAGAGTGTCTCCGTGTCCTCCCGAGGCGGCGGCAGCAGCAGCTACAGCCCGGCCGCGCCGAGAAACCCCCAGAACCGGCGAGGTATAGTCCGCTGAACTTGCCAGAGCCGAGCCGAGGAAGGGGGAGGGGAAAGAGGCGGGCCATGGATTGGCGGGGGGGGGTTAGGATGGCAGTTGCTGCACATGCGTCAATGATTGATGGCAGAAGGGCAACAAATGAAAACACTGAGATGGCGGAACATCTCTGGGTGGGGTGACCGATAGCGCGCGACCTCCGGCCAAGTGATTGACAACAGGACTGGCCAACAAAAGGTGGGGAAGTGGGTGGGATGGCTTGTGCTGAGCCTCAGAGTGATAGGAAGTGAGTAATATGAGGCGGGCTGGGCGGGAGCCAATCCAGAGTGGGGAACTGTGCGAAGGCGGGATTTTGCATTTGTAAGGCTCGGTCCCTCTTGAAGAAGGGGTGTGTGTCCTGGTGGGGGTGAGTCTGTCAGACCAGCCTGGTGGTAGGCTGCTCATAAGGTTGGGGAGGGGCTTTTAGAAGGTGGGTGGGCAGAGCCCGCCCACCATCCCATGATTTCAAATAGGCCCTAGGGAGAGTGAAGCCGAGGAGGCGCGTGCGTCGCTCCCCTCCCTGCAGTGCCCTGCGCCCGGTGTCAGGCACTTGCTGCTAACGCCCAGCCTCGTGCCGGCTGCAAGGATCGTGCCCGGCGTGTCAGCTGTCTCAGGTTGGATCTGTGCCAAGTCCCAGGCTCTCTGGGGTGTGCTTAGCACGTCGCTCAGTGCTGGCGAGGGAGCGCTAATAATGGCCGTGGTATGTCGTGCGGTGTCACAAAGAGAGCAGCGCACGAACAGATTTCTGCCCGTTGAAATTGCTGAGCTTCAAATATAAACACGTCCCTTAGGATAATTTTAAAAGGAATCCAGGACCTCCGGCATCAGCTGCAGGTGCTGCTCATATACTGATTGAATTACTAAAACAGATTTTGCCCATGGCAAGTATGAAGGATTCAATGAGTTGTGTATGTAGGTGTTATTGTTGACTGGCCCCAGCATCAGGTGTTTTCAGGTGCCTCTCTGTTCTACTAATACTTGATCTAACGAAGATTCACTGTTTCTTGTGCCGTGCTTTTTTTTAAGCCTTACATAATGACTGTGACTTTAGTTCAGTGATCACCAACCAGTAGATGGGGATCTACCTGTGGATCTTGGAGCCTTTGACACGTGATCGTGACAGGTTTGGCCAGGAGGCTATCAAGTTCCTGCACTTGATCTGCCCCTCTCAACACTGCCATGCTGCTCTTGCCCTCTGCTTGGGAGGTGCCTTCCCTCCACCCTGTACCCCATTTCCACAGACCAGAGTGGGGCAGGGATGGAGAGAGTTTGCTGGCTGCTTTTGGGAGTGGTACAGGGCCAGGGTGGGGTGAGCCTGCATTAGCCCTGGCACCAACACCCAGAAGCCACTTGTGGTAAGTGGGCCCAGCTGGAGCCAGCATTCTGAACCTGGGTGCCAGTCCTGAACCCCTTCTACACTCCAAACCTCTGCCCCCAGAGTGATAAAAGTGAGGGAGAATGGAGTGAGCAGGGGCAAGCCTCAGAGAAGGGACAGGAAGGAGGTGGGACAAGGGTCTTTGGGATTGAGATATATCCTGGATTGCACTTAAATTCAAAAAGTGATCTCATGCTTAAAAAGGTTGGAGACCACTGCTTTAATTGATGACCACTACTTACAAGTCTGTATTAACGGTAGGCCCTTAGACAACCTAGCCCCTTGAAATTAGTTGCTGAACATGCTTGCCTGACATTGTAAAGTGCTCAAGGCTTTAGTCTGAGTCACACATAAGCTTAAGGACACTGCTAGTCTACTGATGTTACTGAAATTCCTGATATGCTTGAATGCTTGGCTCACCTAGTAAGAGACAGTGGCTGGCCTGAAGATCTTATGATTTATAGGTAAGACAAAGGGTGGGAGAAAGAATGCATAATTTTCCTTTTGCAGATGGAGACCTAAGGATAAGGGATTAAGTAATTTGCCTAATGTCACACAGGAAGTCAGTGACAAGCTAGAAACTGAATCCCAGTCATGTCCTAATCACAAAATCTACACACTTCTCAAGAAGTAAAAATTCTCTGTAATTTGCATTCTAGGAGTTGAACCTGGGCTTCTCAGACCAGAAACAGAAATCCTAACTGCTAGACCACTTGGAAGATGGAGTGTGTGGGTATGTACAATATACACTCGTGTTAAAATTTGATTCCACTTCTCTCCCACATAGATGGTTTCAACAAAAGTACTGGAGACACTTGACATTGCATCACAATCTACATTACATCTTATTTAGAAAATACCGGACATTTCTGTTTTCTCATTTATATTTTCTCAATTTGTTTCCGGAACAGAAAGCTCAAATACCGGACTGTCTGGTTAAAAACCGGATACCTGGCAACCCTACCCACATACATACATACACATTGCCTCACATTTGAGCCATAAACTTTTCTTAACATATCTTAACTCATGTTCATGTAAATATAGAAGATGGATTGGCTATATATAGGCATATGTTTTTTTCTTATTTTTGTGTTTCAGCTCTGATTTAATGAAGAATTTAAGCACCTGCTTAACTTTAAACATGTGTTAAAGTACCAGTTCAATAGGACTTATGTGTGACATGTTTAAGTGCTTTGCTTAATTGTTTAACTGTTTTCATACATGCAGTTCATAACATCAAAACAAAGATTAGGTGATACACTTCCATACTTTTGACATACATCTAAAATTACTGTATTCCACGTGGACTGCTGCCATTTATACATTACCGGATTTTATTATATCATGTCTGTTTTCGTAAAGGACTCAAAAGCAAAAATGAAATCTGTAACTTTAAAAGGCCTGTCCCACATTTCTCCCAACATACATTGTGTCCGTATCATTCCTTTTTTCTTGTTACTTAAAATGCATTCAGAAGTAGAATTATAAAAGCAATAAGCAGTATTGCCAGTGCCAACTGTTTGTACAAAATCATGAGTTTGTACAAAATAGTATGAATTTTTTTAAAATAGCAAGTTTGGATTCCTTTGATTTGCCCTCCTAAGTTTCAGAATCTTAAAAGTATTCCTGCTTCATGTTTCAAGTTATCCTCCATAACAAAAGCTAGAAGCTTATTTTTTAAAAAGATAGTTGAGATTCTTATGTAATAAGAAGGAGCTGGGTCCTAAAAATCATGAGACTTGGGACCTCTTAATTACCCTTGCAAGCTAAATTCTGAGAGATGTATTTTTGCCACTTGATAAGGATATGCCTATTGGATAGAACATCAGACCGGGATTCAGGAAACCTGGGTTTGGTTTGTGGCTTGGCCATTGGTCTGCTGGGTGGTTCTGGGCAAGTCAGTTCCCTCTCTGTTACTCAGTTTCTCCATCTGTAAAATAGGAATAACAATACTGACTTCCTTTGAAAAGGGCTTTAAGGTCAATGGATGAAAAGCACTAAGTAGGTGGCAGATGGTATTGTTATTTATTATAATCAGTCAGTTTGGATTCTCCTGCATACAATCCATAACACATTCCTTGTGGCTGGTTAAGTAAAAATTATTGAAGTTACAGAAGATTTCACATTCATGTTAGGGCTGGTCTACACAAGGAAATATACCAATATAATTCTTGCAGTGTAATTATACTGATATAGTAATCCTAGGAAATTTTCTGTGTAAACAAGACCTTAGTCATGGTGGTGAAAGCAGCAATGCTTGTTTCTGCCACAGTAAAATATGATGTTATAGCAAAGACTACCTCCGACATGATGCTTAATCTGTAAAAGATCCCAGTATTTCTATCTTGCTATGTGGGGATGTAACGCTCTTTCCAATGGACCTGATACCCCAAACACTAGGCACAGAGCATGCAGCAAATTCACATAATCCTTCCCAGTGAACATGTGAGCCAGTTTGTGTTTCAGTCTGTACATTGTTTTTTTGTTTTGCAGGCTTTACTTGAACATAATTCATGTGACTGTGCTATTTATGGAGGAGTAAATATTGCCGGGGGTCTGTTTAAAAAGGCCAATGACCTGGATTTTTTTTCCGTTTGAATTCTCTCCACTAGTCAGACATGTTTAACTACTGATTTTTCCCTTCTTGGAACAATACTAACTAAAAAGGGGAAAGAAAGCCTCATTTTGTAAATGGCTAATTAAGCAGTCTGCTTCCCTTTCATTTCTGGAAACAGATCATTCTAGTCATGAATTACCAATGAATGTATCTATGTAGTATTAATTTGACTTCTAACAGCTCACAGCTTTCACAATATTTTTGTAATTCAGGTTCATAATTCTGGCTTTATAATTTATTTATTATTTATTTATTATTATTTTACAAACCATAATGTTTATAGAAATGTTTTAATGAATTAAAATCATTAAATTGAAACAGATGCTTTGAGTGGGTGGAGATTTAACTGTTCTCCCCATTACATTTGCATTCAGTAGTACAGTATTGTACTAATGCATAAGAACCTAAATGTGAAAATGTCTAGCAAATATACAAGTCGAGGTTCACTGTCCAGAGTAAGTGATGTCAAAATACATAGATAACTGTAAGTGCTGGGAATAGTTAGCATATCTTATTTTTAAACGATGTGCCCAGCACATCTGTGGAGTACATAACACTCTTAAGAGTATAAAATTAGTTGATCAAAGTCAAACTGTAACAGACTAAAACCTGTCAGCTATGCTATAAATAGTCTCCTCTATCTCCCTTTATCCAAAAGCCTGAGAGAAGTTGAAGTTTGTGTCCTGAAAGTCAACAGACCTGTGTTCTGTCAGAACAAC